CTTGCCGGTGCGGCGCCTCCCACCAGGAGCAGAAGCAGCGCCAGCAGACTCAGCACCAAGGAAGTCAACAGCAGCAGCAGTAGCATAGGAGGGAGCGAGGGGAGAGGGAGAGCACCCCTCAAAGATGGGGGTGCGAGGAGCGCCGCGAGCAGCACCAACAGCTACAATGCTCTTCTCGGCTGCTAGCAGCTTCTCCTCTAGGAGGGCGACAGTGAGCTCAGTGGGACAGCGAGCAAGGAAATAGTCGCGCACTGAGCTGAGGGTGTCAGGGAGACGGGTGACTATGAAGTGGAGTGCCCAGTACAGGGGAGGGGGGTTCTTAGCGCAGAACTCGGTGGGAAGGGCGGCACGCAGGCGAGCATCACTAGTGCGAAGGTGGGTGATAAGATCGGCGACTGTAGCAAAGGTGGACAGGTCAGGGAACAGGTAAGGCAGCATGAGACGGCTAAGCTCGGCTGTGGCAGGTGAGGAGTAGCGAGCAACGACAGCGTCGTATAGGGCTTTAGCGGTTTTGCAGTCGCCAAAGTGCTCTAGCTCAGCTAACGGCAGGTGACTGCGAATAGCCAGGCGAGCTGCAGCGTCACGAGTCTGCCACTGTGAACGTACACTAAGCTCAGCTGTGGCAGCAGGAGCAGCGGCAGCACCAGACGCGTAGTCATAGAGGGAGATGTGGTCCGTGCTATTGCTCATAAGATACAACTGCAGGTCGTCGAGCCAGGAAGTGAACTGCACGGGACGGCCCTCAGCATCGAAGGAAAGAACGCGAATAGAGGCCATAGCTCAGGCGTGAGGGCACAGCAGAGCAGCGGCAGCAGCAGAGGGGACGCGCTAGAGCGAGGCTAGCAGCCACAGCAGGAGCAAGCGGCGGTGCACAGGCAGGGAGCAGCAGGCGAGGCGGGCGGCGCTGCAGGCGGGAAGTGCGGCGGGCGGGCTGCGAAGCGGGCAGCGGGGCGGGCGGGCGACGCGGCGAGCGGGCAGCGCGGCGGGCGGCTGCGAAGCGGGCAGCGGGCGGGCGGGCGACGCTGCAAGCGGGCAGCGGGCGGGCGGGCGACGCTGCAAGCGGGCAGCGAGGCGGGAGGGCGACGCTGCGAGCGGGCAGCGAGCGAGCGGGCGACGCTGCGAAGCGGGCAGCGGGCGGGCGGGCGACGCTGCGAGCGGGCAGCAAGCGGGCGGGCGACGCTGCGAAGCAGGTAGCGGGCGGGCGGGCGGCGCTGCGAGCGGGCAGCGAAGCGGGCGGGCCGCGAAGCGGGCAGCGAGCGGGCGGGCGGGCTGCGAAGCGGGCAGCGGGGCGAGCGGGCTGCGAAGCGGGCAGCGGGGCGAGCGGGCGACGCTGCGAGCAGGCAGCGCGGCGGGCGAGGGGCGAGCGGGCAGCGTGGCGGGCGGGCGACGCTGCGAGCGGGCGGCTCGGCGGGCGGGCGACGCTGCGAGGGGCGCGCGAGGGCGCTAGCGAGGGGCGCGCGAGGGCGCTAGCAAGGGGCGCGCGAGGGCGCTAACGAGGGGCGCGCGAGGGCGCTAACGAGGGTGCGCGAGGGCGCTAACGAGGGGCGCGCGAGGGCGCTAACGAGGGGCGCGCGAGGGCGCTAACGAGGGCGCTACGAGGCTAGGGCACGGGGTAGCGTGGTAACCGCATGCGAGCGGTGGTGGGCCCTTAAAAAAAACGGTCGGTAGGTCCTAGGGACCTCCTGCTCTGAATACCATGTCAGAATTACTAGGCAAGAATGAATGAACTAGCAGAAGTTTGGGTACAAATATGAAACCCTAGTTGGGGTTGTACCCCATATTGGCTACCCCACTACAGCCTACAAGCATAATACAGTTTAACAGAACTATCGTTACTGCAAAACGACGTCGCAGGGGCGCAACAAGCGCAATCGCAAACACAAGGCACGCAAGCACTAGCAGCACTTCAAACATCACAGCACGAGAGTGTGGGGCAACCCTCGAGCGCGGCTAATGATGTCGTCGCCCGCAATGACGGAGGCGATGACCACGACACGACGCACCCCGGAGCGACGAATGTGGCCATAAGACAACCACGCGTCACGATTTCAGCGCCGAACGACGAACAGGCAGTGCTGTCATCGATGTTGTTCAAGCCGTGGCGTCTGCCTTGCTTCAAACAAAGACAAGGAGCTGGTTCATCTAATCCAGGCATGGATAGGTACAATGAACATTTTTTACGCCAACTACGTCTCATCGGACGAGGCGAAGATCCGATACGCCTTGTCGCTGCTGCAAGGGCCCGCCATGGACCTGGGGGCGCGCCATCGTCACTAAGCCGACGGACTACGAGGGTCTATCGTCACGAGGAGAAACTGGATTTGGGCACCGTCGTATTTCGTGGAAGTAGCCCTATATCGCATGTGGGACGAGTGGTGCGTAGGTCTGCACGCGAGATTCGAGCCAATTGTGGCTTCAATCGCAGTGCTTCAAAGGCTCCTCACTTGGCGCCAGCTCTGCTCCGTCCAAGACTTAACCAGCGGGTTTCTGGCGTTGTGTGAACAGGTGGGAAACATGGACGAGGTGGAGCGTATCAATCGCTATATCGAAGGTTTGAAGCGCGGAATCGCCCACTAAATCCTGCTTCGCAACGTCACTGAATTTTATGAAATTCCAGCTATGGCGGAAAAAAAATATATATGATTTTCTTCGCTGACCGAGGCCGGGGTCCTACGGCAACAACAGCAGCTGGGGACATCGGACTCGTGGGACGAACAGCTATGACACGATACGCGCCATCGCCGCGAACGCCGCTGCCACACCGTTTAAAAGGCGCTGCTTCGCGTGCAACAGGCCAGGGCACCGTAAGATCGAATGCCTGTAAAACGCTAAGGGAAAGGGAGAAGCTGAGCAGCAGAAACTGAGAGGGTATGACGGCTTATGCCAGCCATGCATGCTTGCTTTTACTTTATTACGCTATTACTAGCTTAGGTTTAAATGATGCATGCATGAATTGCTTGATTTCCTAGGCTAGGTGCTTTCCTATATTTTATTATAGTTATAGCACCGAGCTAGGTTGCGTACACCGAATTCTGGGCTATTCGGTTGCCACCGAATTGCCTTCTACCGAATTCGGGAAGGGTCTGTTCGAGACGCTTCGCGACCCTCAGAACCTTCGCGTAACACCTGGTTACTGGCCCTTGTGTCGAGCCTATATATAGCCTCGTGTTGTACCTAGGTGATCATTCAATTCAAACTCTCTTTTCTGAGCTCGATCCTAGATCCTCACACTTGGTAATCAGAGCCCGTTTACACGCGACAGTTTTTTTTTACCGCTAAAAACCGATTCATAAAAAACAGCGGGGGCGACGACTGTTAAACACCGATTTCAGGTACGTAAAACCGGTTCCGTGTTTTTCGCTCCCCCTCGTTTCGGTTTTTTTGAAAGCTCAATGTCAGGCATGGAGGGCCAAGGCGACAACTACGCGACGACGAGTGACATTGCAAGCCTCCACACCGACATGGAGCAGACGCAGGCGGCGATCCAGCGACTTGAGGCCCTTCTGACACACCAACCAGGAGCCGCCACCGCAGCAGCAGCGAACGTAGCAGCGACGGCAGCAGCAGCAGTGGCGACACCGACATTTCACGGACCGATGGCACCACCGATGACATTTCACGAATCTCGAAGCAGCATGCCCAAGGCTCCCCGAAGCGTTCGATCCCAGCGCGAAAGGATCTGACGTTCGACGATTCGTGGCGACCCTCGAAATTTATTTCGAGGCCATTGGCTGTTCGACCCCGACACACGACGCAGCACGGATCCGGCTCACAGCGACACTGTTACGGGGACCAGCATTAGAGTGGATTTATTACACTGAAGTGGTTTACGGGGAGAAATCGTGGGCGCAATTTCGGGCAGACCTCATCGAACGTTTCGAGCCCATTAATACGACCTAGATGGCGCGGCAGCAGATACACCGACACAAACAGTACAGTAGTGTAACACGGTACACGCAACAGATGGAGCTACTGTTCAATCGCATCACTGATCTGTCCGAAGGCAAAAAAATCCAGGCTACACAGAAGGGTTAAAATCGGAGATTTGCCGACAGGTGATTGCAGCGAATTACAACAGTTACCGCGACATCGTGCGTGTTGCCGAGCGATACGACGCATTGACTCGAGGTCAACCCAAAACACGACGTTTCGGGCCGAACCGTACATTCGGCACGGAGCGATCGGCACCCCCCACGTTCGCCGAACCGATGGATATCGACAAATTTGACGCGAAGCAGCAACCGACAAAATGCGAATTTTGCGGCGCAGTAGGGCAACAAATCTTGTCGTGCTACAAGAACAAGAAAGCACGTGCGACAATGCTGGGCGGCAACAGTGCAGCACCATCAAAGTAGAAAAACGGGAATCGCCAGTAGCCGCGGATCCACCTGGTGATCGCGTAAAGATCCGAAGAGCAGAAAAATGCGACGACGTGGCGAATTCGGAGCGGGTGAAAAAAAGGAGAAAATGATGGCGCGAATTTAAAACGTCACGACCAACCGGCATCAGGGGAAATCGCCAAGGCAGATGGAGGCTCCGCGAAAAAAGACTCTGCACCGACCGGGAAACTCCAGCCGAACACCCACGAAAGTAAGAATTCGTTAAAAGTATCTAATAAATATACTCTAACGAAAAACATTGCTTCTCGTGGTTTTCAAGCCTTTGAAAATTTCAAGAGAGATTTAGAGGCCAAGAAAAAGCCTTTAGAAATTATTCAGGTACCTGAGAAGTTGGGCAAAGTACTACGGAGCGTAGAAAAGGGTCGTGCGTTCCGTGGAGTTAATATTCTCTCCCCGCAGCACCGTGTTAAGGCTCCCCATTGCCCACAGGTGAAGCCTACACAGCTGCAAAGGCTTAGAGGACAAATCCAGGCTCAGGAAAAATATACAAGCCTCGGGAAAATCCTCCTACCCCCTAGGTGAAGTTGGAAGCAAATAGTGTTGAGTCAGGTATAGTAAATAGGGAAGGTATTCATTTTGATGTACCCTATGATCCTATTAATGAGACTCTCTTTGGCTACTCAGCGCAGCAGAAACCACTACTCCTCGAGGTGTTATGCAATGGGCGACGCCTCCAGGCACTGGTGGACAGCGGTGCATCTCACTCGGTGTGCGACCGCGGAACATTGGAGAAAAATGGAGACAAGGCGGTGGAGACCCAATTCTCAGCAACGATGGTGGACGGCAGCTTCCCATCCACGGCAAAGCATCCCTGCAGTTGCATATAGGTGCGTTGAGGTGGAAGCCGAAGCTATTAGTCAACAACATCAAAGGGTTAGATTTCATCTTGGGGCGAGATTTCCTGAAGCGGTTCAACCCCGAGATCGATTGGGTCAACAGCAAGGTGTGCATCTACAATAGTGGGAAGCGGATAGAGCTACGAAGCTGGACGGATACAGGGGACGTTCCTGAAACGACACTGGCACGGTTCGAACAGACGGTGAACGAGAGTAACACGGGTTACCTAGTACAGGTTATGGCAGCAGCAGAGGAGAAGAAGCCGAGTTCCGAGCTACCTGCAGCAGTGAAGGAGGTCTTGGAGCAGTGTAAAGATATAATGCCCGACGATCTACCTGCAGGCGTACCTCCAGCTTGCACCCACGAGCACGAGATTGTAAAAGAACCCATCTCACGAGCACCATACCGACTGAACTGACGGACATGAAAAAAGAGATCGAGTATCTACTGGACAGACAACTGATCCGCCCATCCACCTCTCCCTACGGTGCACCAGTTCTCTTCACTCCAAAGCCAGATGGTAGTTTACGGATGTGCATCGACTACCGCGCACTGAACAAACAGACAGTTAAAAACAAATATCCCATACCGCGCATAGACGACCTACTGGACCAACTGCGTGGTGCAACAGTCTTTTCGAAGCTGGACCTACGGTCGGGTTATTGGCAGATCAAGATGGCAGACAACTCGATCCACAAGACGGCGTTCCGTACCAGATACGGCTCCTACGAGTACTTGGTGATGCCGTTCGGACTCTGCAATGCACCAGCGACGTTCCAGGCAGAGATGAACCATATCCTACGGCCCCTGCTGGACGAGTGCGTAGTAGTGTACCTGGACGATATCCTCATCTACTCCAAGAACTGGAAGGAGCACGTCGAGCATCTGCGGAAGGTGTTCGAGATCCTGCGGAAAAATAAGTTCTACGTGAAGCTGTCAAAGAGCGACTTTGCACTGAAGAAGGTGCAGTTTCTCGGACACATGGTGAGTGCGGAGGCCGTAGACGAGGACCCGCGGAAGATCGAAGCTGTCAAGAAGTGGATAGTACTGGAGAACGTGAAGGAGTTGCAGCAGTTCCTAGGCTTCGCCAACTACTACAACAGGTTCATGCCACAGTACGCTAAGATAGCAGCGCCACTAACCGACCTACTGAAAAGGGATACCCCCTTCAAATGGGATACTCCTCATCAGCAAGCCATGGAACAGCTACAGACAGCACTGACCACAGCGCCAGTACTCATCCTACCGGACCCAGACAAGGACTACGTAGTTGACGCAGAGTCTAGTGACCAGGCAGTCGGAGCAGTACTGATGCAAGATCACGGGAACGGTTTACAACCTATCGCCTACCTCAGTAAGAAGCTATACGGAGCAGAACTGAACTACCCCATCCATGACAAGGAAGCCTTAGCGATAGTCATAGCCTTCAAGGCGTGGAGGTGTTACCTAAAGGTAGCCAAGGCTACAATTTACACTGACCACTGCAGTCTCAAATACCTGAAGTCACAGCCGACGCTCTCACGACGACAGGTGCGGTGGGTAGATTTATTGGAAACTTACTTCCACTACGACATCGTCTACAAACCCGGGCTACACAACAAGGCTAGCGCATTGAGACGCCCAGGACATGTAGCAGGCATCCAGCTCGACGGAATGAACCCTCTACTCAAGGGTCTGTTCCAACATGGGTACTCCGTGGACGGCGAGATAGCAACGGCAGAGAAACAGAAGCTGTTACAGTGGGAGAAAGACTTAGCGGTAAGGAAGGGTTCAGGAAAGATTTGGGTACCGAATTACGCCCCGCTACGGCAGATCCTATTGGAGGAGTTTCACGACGTACCATACGCGGGACATTTCGGGAGCAACAAAACGTTAGCGGGAATAGCAAAGTATTACTACTAGCACTGGATGGCAGCAGACGTGCAGCAGTTCGTCACTTCATGCGACACGTGCCAGCGGATGAAGAGTAGCAAGCATACAAAATCAGGGTTACTTCAGCCTCTACCCGTACCGGAGCAGCCATGGCAAATCGTCATAGCGGGACTTCCTTCGACCTCACGAGGACACGATTCCATCCTCGTAGTGATCGATAAGTTCTCCAAAATGGGTCACTTCATCCCGACCAACGCCACAGCTACAGCTGAAGCAACTGCTCGCCTCTTCTTCGACCGCATCATCACCATCCACGGCATCCCCGCTACACTCATCGAGTAAGTTCTGGAAGGAGCTCATGGGATTGTTGGGGACTAAGCTTGCGATGTCTTCAGCATACCATCCCCAGACTGACGGACAGACAGAGCGACTCAATTAGGGGGTTGAACAGTTACTGTGCACAGCTTGCAAAGATGACATCAGCCACTGGGACACACAGTTACCGACCTTAGAGTTCGCTTACAACAACGCCTCACATGCGGCCACAGGGAAAACTCATTTCTTCACATGTTACGGACGGGAACCACTTACACCACAGCAGCCAACCACATCGGCACACGTCCAAGCCACACACCACTTCGTCACCACCATGCAGCAGCTATGGGAGAAGACTCAGCGACGTCTCACCACGATGCAGGACACCCAGAAGCAGTATGCCGATCGCCAACGACGAGATCACTCAGTAGTAGTCGGAGATCAGGTGCTTCTTGACACACGCAACTTGAACCTGTCTCACCTACCATCCAAACTCCGGCCTCGCTTCTGTGGTCCTTTTCTCGTGGAGGCACAGGTGACACCAGTAACATTCCGCTTGCGCTTACCAGATACCTGGAAACTTCACAGCGCTTTCCATGTTCAGCTACTGAAACCCTACAAGGACCCCAACCAACATTTCAAGGGACGGCAGCTACCGCCACCTCCACCTGTACTTGTGCAGGATGAACCAGAGTACGAGATCGAGCGCGTTCTCACTCATCGGCGCCGCGGCGGCAAGACCCTCGAGTTCCTGATACGCTGGAAGGTTTACGACCCCACTAAGAACAGTTGGGTTGTAGAAGTTGATATTGGCAACGCACGCCGTGCTCTCAAGGACTATCTTGTCAAGCAGGGTGTATCTCACGCCACCCAGCTTTGAGGGGGGGACGTGTGAGAGTACGACGGCTTATGCCAGCCATGCATGCTTGCTTTTACTTTATTACGCTATTACTAGCTTAGTATTATTTTATGCATGCATAAATTGCTTGATTTCCTAGGCTAGGTGCTTTCCTATATTATATTATAGTTATAGCACCGAGCTAGGTGTTGGGTGCAAAACACTATTTTTGCACTGCAACCAGCCGCCTGCATGACGTTTCGCATTTTGTGTGTGATCTGTGTGCATTCGTTTTCGCATTTTGTTTCCTGTGTTTTTGCTGTGGGATCATGATCGGTCATGCCGGATCATGACGAGTCATGTTCGTATCGAGATAGTGGGTATACTGAGGAGATAGGGTTGACCTAGCTAGGCAAGAGAGAATGAAGGCAAAAGGGGGTTTCACTAGCAGCAGTTGGGGTACATATAGCAAACCCTAACTGGGTTGTACTCGCTATAGAGCACCCCACTACAGGCTAGACAATAATAACATTCTGACACACCCCCATAGCCAAAGTGGGGTGTAATCAGTACAATGAGCAGGCATAGCAATAGTTCACAATTATAAGCAAAGCTAGAGGTGATCATAGAGGGCAAGTGAGGAGGAGGAGAAACTGTGAGGGCGAGAAGATGAAAGGCGCCGACTGAAGCTGCAGACACACGGGCAACAGGAGCGGCGCGCACAGTGGCTACCGAGCGCACGAGGGCACCGGACTACGGGAGTATCTGGCTCCGCGGCTACGACGAGCACACACAGGAGCAACGGACCCACAGGCGACTGGCGAAGCAGGCTCGCTGGGCTACCGAAACGCGCGAGGGCATCCGGACTACTGGCGCTGCTGGCGTCACGACGGCTACCTCCACGCAACCTCCCCCGACCGTCCCACGCCCCTCTCACACACCCCCTGCTGACACCCTAGCTCCACTTCCACGGCACCCCCCTTAAACCCTAAACCCTCGGCTCCCACACACCACCCCCCTCAGCGGCAGCTGTAGCAGAGGGAGACGAGGGAGGAGGAGGAGCAGGGGGAGGAACTCACAACCGACACCCCCATAGCCGCCACCCCCACACTCTTCACCCCCAAACCCTAATTCAGGAGAACGGGCTGTAGGAGGGGTGGGGCGCCGGTAGAAGCACGGGGGACAGTGGAGAGGGCAGGAGCAGCGAGGAACGGGCCGCCCACGGGCCTGGTATAGCCGCCCGAACCGCGCGCAGGCGGCCCGAGCCGCGCGCGGGCCTGGCGCTTCCCGTACGGGCCGCGCGCGGGCCTGGCGCAGCCCGTACGGGCCGCGCGCAGGCCACGACGGGCGACGGGGGGCGACGCGCGGGTCCCCGTCGCCCGTCGCAACGCCTCCCGGGGGCGACGCGTCGAGTGACGGGGCAGAAGCCCGCCGCGCGCCTCGGGGCGCACAGCGGGCAGAGAACCGCCGCGCGCCACGGGGCGCACGGCGGGCAGAAAACCGCCGCGCGCCCCGGGGCGCACGGCGGGAAGAATAAACTGCCGCACGCCACGGGGCGTGCGGCACATAGAGTAGCAGCGGAAGTTGCAGCGGAAGCAACGAGGTGGTGAGCCCACAGGCCAAGGACGTACCGGCTCTGATGCCATATCGAGATAGTGGGTATACTGAGGAGCCATAGCTAGGGTTGACCTAGCTAGGCAAGAGAGAATGAAGGCAAAAGGGGGTTTCACTAGCAGCAGTTGGGGTACATATAGCAAACCCTAACTGGGTTGTACTCGCTATAGAGCACCCCACTACAGGCTAGACAATAATAACATTCTGACAGTTCGTTCATGTCGGCTCATGTACGTTCATGTTTTCTATTCATGGACGAACATGTGCGTTCATGGAAGTTCTGTGTTTCATGAATGTTCTGTGTTTCATGAATGTCGGATTGTCTTCATGAATGCTATTGTGAGTGTCGAGTGTGTTTGAGTTTGGGGCTCGATTGTTTGACCAGCCCTGTTGACCATTTCGCGCAGGTCGACAAAAAGGTGCGCGATGTCAGGACCCGCGCGTGGGGTCCTGACATACGCGTGTGGCCCGACAGAACATGCGTGTGTGTCAGCACTGCTTCGATCGTGCACAGTGCGCACGATCGATACACGACGGAGCGACATGATCGCTCCGTCACGCGCAGGACAACGCACGATCGCGTCAGCGATCGTCTTGTCCTGTACGACCGAGAAATATCTCGGTCGTGATGAGGGGCACGTGGGGCACGCGGGATTTCGCAGTTGACTAATGGAATTTTCGCGCTGACTCGGCGAGCAGGAAAATTTGCCAGAAAGTCGCGCTGCATTGCGTCATCATTTCGACAGTGGTGCAAAATGGTGAAGTCTGTTTTGTAACCGACAACGGGAAACCCGCGCGAGTGTTCATGATTGATACACGAGCAATCATGGATGTTCATGAGGCAAGTCAGCAAAAGAATTTGGCAGTAGTGCAGGTAAAAGACAGTTATTCTACAGAGGCAAATCAAGCCAAATTCTGAAGCAGTTTTACAACCGTTTTCCATGACAGCAAAGCACAGACCTGAACTGCCTTGTGTGATTTCTTTGTGTGCCTAGGACCTCTCATATATGTGTGCTTGTATTTGCTTTCAACAACAATGCTTTCTTGATTTTCTCAAGTGCAAATTCTACTACTATGTATTGACGAGAGTAGAATCACCACAAAGTGCTGCCAAAACTCTGCTCTACCAGAACACTCACCTTACAAGTTGGATTGAGCATAAGTACTCACTTGGTTTTTTTATGCCCTTGGCTGTGAGGTGACATGCTGTCATACTCGGGGGGCATACAAGTGATATTAAGTGTTGCTTAACTTATGTTTGTGATCTGAGTTTAATCGCTTCCGCATAGTATTTAGACTCAACACGTGGTATCAGAGCTGGTCCTTAGTCGTATCTGACGTACCCGATGATGGGAGTGCCTGGTAAAGAAGGGAACTCAGCCCCCGCGAGCAGTGGCAGCCAGGAAATTGGGGTATCTGTGCCTAGGGGAGCATGGACGAACCAGGGCCCACTGCCAAGGGATGTGCTGAAGAACTTCACAGTTGACAAATTTAGTGGTGAAGGTACAACGATTGGTCCTGGAAGATGCAGCTTTATTTTCGGCAGATAGGACTCCTCAAAGTCATGATCGGTAGTGAAAAGCGCCCTAGCAATCCGGAGCTCCAGGGCGATTGGGATGAACGTTCGTCAGCTGGATACTATGTCCTTTCTCAAAGCTTAGACCTTGCCCAACGCCAGCATATAATCCACCTACTCCCAGAGGATGAGTGCGGACCCAAGGCGTGGGCCGTGCTCAAGGATCTCCACGCACCAACCTCAGTTGTAGCCACTCTAATGCTCGAGAGAGAGCTCTCCACCCTGCGCCTCAGTGAAGGAGAACCCATTCAGCCTGTCCTAGATAAGCTTAGGGACCTCTACGCCAAATTAGCCATTGCCGGCATCACCTACCCCGAACAAACCAAGTGTGTGAAGATGTTGTCGCTGCTGCCAGAGTCTTGGATGGTCTTCACCGGTGGACTCAGTCTTCCCCAAAACCAGAGCCTCTGGAACTTAGAGTGGATCCGTACTAAAATTCTTGACGAGGACTTTGGGAGGCGTCAGTTGAGGGGAAGTGAAGAGGGGAGCAGCAGCTATGCCATGCAAGGAGGAAAACAGGGTGGAGGCAAGAAATGGCAAGGGGCTGGGAGAGGAGCTGCAAAGGATGAGGAGCTCTCCAACCAGCAAGGCGGCAAAGGAGCAGGACGTGGTGGAGGCAGAGGTGGCAGAGGCGGTGGAAGGGGACCTGGGAGGATGGAGGGCAAAAGCTGGTACTGTGAGAAAGTG